GGCCAAGTTAAAACTAAGCTTCTGTCAAAGAAGTTAACGTGTTAACTCCTCTTGAGAAGGATGTTTGCCTTTGTCCACACTGCTTCAGCTTCATTTGGAGATAGTTTTTCTCACTGTTCAGCTTCTGTCCCTAACCCTTACTGTCACCCCCACCAAAAACCAGTGACCATTTTCTCTACAAGGCCAATCCTCTCTACCCAAAATGTAAAATGTTAAACATTATATATTAAAAACATGAAAAGTACTTAGAGTTCTGTATAGAAAGAGACAATTTGCACATACAAAGGAAAAATTATACTTATATGATAAAAAAAACAGCAGTCAATTAATTTATTCTTTTTCAGATGCAGGACTTCAGTAACAAAAAATGTAAAGAAACCAAAAAGGTACTAGAAAATTTCAACTTCATTCACAAAATAACAAATCTCACCCAAAAGGACAAGATGAAGGATCACTTTCTCGGCTCCAACTTTGTGACCATGGTTGTTTTGTGCTAGCAGTAGAATGGATAATCGAGATCGATATTTATTTTCATTTTTGTGTTCAAGTGTAGAAACATTGTCTTTAAATAGCTTGAATTTGCAGAGAGAGGGTCTTTTTAGATTTTACTCTTTTATTCATGGTCTCAGACAGCTGTGTGTCCCTGTAGTGGGGATGCCTCAAACTTGATAAAACTACCAGCCCACAGTTCTTGCTCATTCATGTAGTTACTTTTAGTAAAAAAGAGTTTGCTGCTTGGGACTGCACACTTGTACAACGCTGGATTCAATGTACCAGGATTTACATGTTGATCAAATGACCAACCCATTAGGACTGCTGAACATCTCTAGTAAGTTAAACAATTATTTATGACTGAGCTCTTGCTGAAATAGTTTTACTTTTTTACTTAAAGCTTAAAACTGATACTCCTCTCACAAAGACTGGTATATAGCGTAGCAGCACACAGAGATGGTTGTAAAAAAAAATACGCAGTAGGAAAATAAAAGTTCAGTGTCATGTTAAACTGGAGACAGTATCTGAGTCAAAACTACTTAACATTTCAATATTTGTGCAGTTCATATGTATTTAACTTCAGGGAGAGCAAGAGAAAGAGAGAGTGGGAGAGAAAAGTGTGTGTGTGTGCATGTTAAGGAAAAAGGCAAAGAGTGAGAAAGAGAGAGAAAGAAAGACAGAGCGAGAGAGACAGAGAGAAAGAAAGACAGAGAGAGAGGGAGAGAGAGAGAGAGAGAGAGAGAGAGAGAGAGAGCGAGAGAGTGAGTGCCACTTTGGAGTAAAGCTGTCATTACTCCGGCTGGCGCACTCCCTCATAAATACTGATAATGAGATGTTTTCAGCAGCCTAATCATTTGCCAATGTAGCAGAAGGTAATGTGAGAGGATCACTCTCTTCCCTCGACTTCAGTCTGCAGATGACACTTCAGATTCTGTGTAGTCATTTCCACAGCGGCTCTTATAGAGTGAAAAATTAGAAAACAATACACTATATTGTACGACAAAGTTGTGGGTGAAGTTAGAGTTGTCTAAAAACCTGAATACATTTGGTTGCAGAAGTTTACTTGTGTCCCATTTAGTTTGGACATAATGGCAGCAGGACTGGTTTTAAGGGAACACAAAGAGGACATACTGTACTACCTCAACAAAGAAGAGATTCAGACAGCTGGAAAGTTCAAGCCCAGAACCTTTTGTCTGTGAGGTGACAGTGCAAAAAGATGCCATTTAAAATTTGTGTCTGTTTCACTAAATTTATTGAAGATTTAATGTTGCCATTATTTTCCCCACATTTAAATTTTGCATTAACAGAAAAACAGCAAAATAAATAAATAAAGTTAAAAAACTTATGATGGGTCCTCTGAGAGCTTCAAACTTACCTACAAACTGAAAGCAATATTTTGTTGTGAATTAAACATCAAGACCACCTTAAGGGTGGTAATTAAATGATTTTTTTCCCCCTTTTAGTCAAAAATCACACTACCTCGACTCCAACATTGCCCCTACTGACTTAAATACAAGACTTTAACAACAAATGATTTTTGTTTGGTCTTCAAAATGTTGTCAAAATGAATCCTTAGCCGCGTGGAAGCCAAAATCTTGAAATGTACTAACAATCAAAGGCACTGATGATCAAAAATCATTCATATGTTTAGCAGTATAACTGCTTGAAGACATGAGTCATTACAATAACATCATGTTTTTGAGGGCTGTTCATGCAGTTTAGTCTGAAGTATTTGTGGTTTTATGCTAATGGCTCCTTTTCCTGGTACTTGTTTGGTTCCTAGGTACTGAAAGCTAAGAGGCCGACTAAGGTGTCACTGAGGAAGTATGTTATATTGACCATCCTTGAATGCCCATGCCAGGGCACCACCTCTAAAAAACACAGTTTGTATCTGTTTGTGAGTGGCTCTGTTTATTTTGTAGCTTCTCTCTCATCATGTGTACCAACAGGTTCACTATGTGATGTCCCAAAAAGTTTGGGAGTTTCCCTGCAGGACGGCCACATGAAGGGCCTCAGGAGCCCCCTCTGCTCTTTACCCCTGGCTCAGGATGAACTGAGATCTCTAGAGGCATTCCCGAGATCAAATAAACAAGAACATGCGTTTGAAAAGCAGCCATTTACACTCGACTATATATATCTTTCCTATGAGCCATCACTCTAATGGATGTTCCCTAAGAAGCCTCTATGAAAGCACTGTACAGCATGTCATCTTCCGCTGCCTATCTTCCACTGGCCATTAACCAGCATCCTTGATCATTTTAATAGTCCCTCCATACGGCCTCTCTCTGACTCCGCAGTGATTGGACTAACACTGGCGTCCCCAGTGACACGAGAGGAATACATTGAGGAGCTATTGTGGTTTTCCATGGCCTCGCTCTGTGTTGTTTACCGGGTCTGCTTGATTGCCCTCTGTCCAAATCAGAGGGTACAGGCAGGCAGGGCAGGGGTCTACAGGGATGCACTGTGTTGTGGACTGTCCCAACGTGCTAAGAATATTCACTCAACCCCTGGCTCTGAGGGGGAACCCATCCATAGCTCAGTAAACACACACAAACACACAAATAGTTGAAGTCATACATTTGTGCACCAGGGACCATATGGCTGTGCATAAATGTTGGTGTGTGTGTTTGAGGGTGTGTGTGTGGTGGGAAGCCATGTCTGTCTCCACGTCACAGATAATTACCCCCTGTGTGACTTTGCCTTTCACACTGGGAACACATGGCAGACCCTCCTCGTAGACAGCAGCAACTATGGCTCCAACACAGTACCAACTATATGCCATTTGAAATAAAACCCCAGCTAGATAAGAGCTAACTTTAAAAACATACATACACATCTTCCCCTGGTCTTGCCTTTCCTTTGCTTTATTTTTTAATCACCCTTTTCATCATCTCTGGAAATTAAGCTTTAGGTTGCTTAGCTCATTGCCAGTGCCAGACATTTCCTTGCCTTTCTTTGTAATCTTTATCCACCTCTGATTTTTATCTGCTAATCCTTGGCTAAGAACTCATAATTAAGCTAATTAGACACTCTATCGTTGCACAATTTGCCCACATTGGCCTGATAGAGGGAATATTCCAAGAGCAAGGTTACAACTCTGAGTAAGAATTCAATAAATGCTAAAAGCCAACTCAGTCATTCAGCTTTAAATACTTTTAGTAGATGGAATTTTCAAATTCATGGTCATGGTTTCAAAGCAGGTCTAGTCTTCAAGGCTACCTTTACTAACCTTGCTTATCAAGAGGGTAACATTAGCATGTCTTATCAGAGCAGAGCACAGGTAGTAAAATATGGCATTTTGTCTTACAAATTAAAAAAAAGAAGAGGGTAAAGGTGCATATAGCCGATAACTTTGTCTTTATTATTTAGTCGAAACAAAGCGGAAGGAAAATGTTTTTCTACAGAGTCTATGAAGTTGCAATTGTGTGTTCAAATCAGAGAACTAATGAAAAGGGAGAGCTAATGCCAAAAATAACTCAGTAGTTGCTCAGATGACTAATATAAAAAAATATAAATGAATCACTTCATGAGAGCCTCTGCTGAGGTTAGGAAGCTAAGTTAACTGACTCTCAGTTGAACTTGTTGAGAGTTGTAAAGGAACAAATGTCTTGAGTGGAACATAAACAAATCTGAGTTTTGGAGCTGCCTATGACTCAGGATTCCCCCTTTTTCTTTTAAAGAAAACTCCAGAGAAACATCAGCCATAAGTTTGTGAATTTCTGTTTAAAACCACAAGTGTGCTCTTGATTTTTTAAAGTCAGAACTGAAACACATGGATATTCGCTTGAGTACCTAAAAGGTCAAAGGCAATAACAGAAACTGACTTTGGAGTTACCAATCAGAGAGCCACCATCTTTACGGCCTGTGTCCGTTAGGGATATCTTTTTGTGCAGAACATGATTATTTTCTTTTCAAAATCATTTCAGTTCAGTGTCTTTACTGCAAAATCACTTCTGGACGCCACTCTTAGAGACTCAAGGTACTCTCAGTTGAATTAGGTAAACTTGTGGAACACACATCAGTATGACTGTTCCATTACCGACCAATCAAAATCAAGAAAATGGGAGATGTCAACTTATGACAGCAACTATCATAGAGGTCTGTAAGGAGCTGAAACTAATGGTGCTTGTTTTTTCTACATATAATTATCAGAACAAGAGCTGCTGCTAATGGTACAACAAAATTTCTATCCACTGTTCCACAATTTTTAAAAAGTTGTTAAATGACAGCAAATATAAAATATACAGAGCACTTTTCAATGGACCTTATAGTAACTACCAAAGGAGGCAGAAGTGCCAAAAGACAACTTTTGTAACCAAGTAAGTGCCTTTAAAACTGAGCCTGTAGGCACTGCCCGCACACAAAAGATGGCGTTAACGGACACAAGCACTTAAATGTTTTAAAAGTTTTCACATCCTCAAACAAAAATTTCTGCCAGCTCTGAGCTGTGAACATCTACCATATGTCTAAAATGAAGTAACTGACCGTGGCACTAGATGAGAGTTGACTTGCTTTGAAGCCTGCTTCAAGTGGCTATTTGAGGAACAACGTTTTTTTTAAACTCTGCGTTACTCCAGAGGTTTCTCCTTGGAACAAGTATCAACACTGCCAATGATTCACTGTGTATAATTTATACAAAGCCATGTCATGCTCCAGTCAGTAGTACAAAAGTAAACAACACACCACACAAGCACATAAATGTAAGTGAACTCCTGCCATTGGAAATGCCCACTCACTGGCCTTGAGGTTAAAACATTTTTTCCACAAATATGTTCAGAGACGGTTTGATTTTATTTTGAATGAGACAGGAGAGTGACACTGTTTCTTTTCCCATTTCAAAAAATAATTTTCCCAACAGACCACATTCCCACGATGCTGTCATGTGGTCCTAAATTTGCTGCAGCTGAGTGAAGTGAGATTTGATCACCACAGAAAGATGTTAGGAGAAATCAATCTGACTGTTTGTTTGTGCATGTAAAAGTTTTGACCCCGTCTCTGAGGGCTGCAGGGACTTGATGTTGTTTAGACTCATCTCTCTGCCTTCTCTCCCCGGAGACCTGCCTGTGTAGCAATCCCAGCATCCTGTTCCCTGCTCCGCTGCATCCATATCGCACTAATGATCATGGGAGTGGACAGCTGCTTAATGCAGTAGTGTCATCAGGGCTGCTGTCTGATAGAAGCTCCATTGCACTTGACGGGACTCAAATGTATCTGCTGCCCACGAGATCCCACATTTAGCGGATCCACTAATGTGCTTTAGGATCACCTCAGAAAAGGTGTGTTAGATATATGATCACAAGACACATCACACTTCAAGTGCAGGATTACAGTCAGGATTCTTCTTTCTTTTACTTCTTTGAACAGTGTCAGATTTTAAAGCATGGCTCCCAATCACATTAAGAATATGCTAATAAATATTAAAGAAAACATAGAAGGGGGGCTTTCTTAAATCTTCATAAACAATCATGAGATTTCTTGAGCTATACTTTTGCTGTTCCCATTTTTCCCCTCCAGGGCTTGATATTCATGTACTTCTTTGTCTACCCTGTGACCCATCATGAACCACAGGCGTGCCGTCTTGGGCAGCAGTGGTCACCTGACTGCAGTGCGTGCACTTATCCAGTTATGCACTCTCTCTCTTTCTCTCACTCAGCTGGAGCGCTCCTGTCCGGTGCAGCTAAAACAACAACAGAGCAGTTGAATAAATACAAGCAGAACAAGTTTCGTAAGAGTGGGCAGGGAAAGGTACAGGATCTTAACACGCCGCTGTTTTTCCCTCTTGTACAAATCGGTGCCATCTTTTCAACCTGAAGCGTATATCAAACGAATTATGAGACCACAATATCATGTACCTTAATCCGCATCTCGACATCCATGTACTTTTCAACTTTCACTTTTCTGCTATCTTAAAAGACTTTGGTTTTGAGGTGGAGTTTTCAAAGGAAAGTCATAGGAAAACATTGATAACAACAGTTCAGCCACCTTTGATTCCTACCCTGAAGTGAGTAAACCAAACATGGCCACTTTAAAGGGAGAAACAACAGAATCAATAAACCACTAATGGAAAAAAATGGAGCATTTTAGTATTCTTTTAATAATTTTCTGCTGTAAAAGTAGGAAAGCTGCCAAAGTTTATATGAGACTGCATCATGTCACTCATAAAAAGCTTGTTATCAATCACTACGGTTTTGTTTTTCCAAGTTTGCCTCCATCTGTTACAGTGAATAAAGACCCTGACGACATCATTATAAACCTTATCCTCTGGAATACGTTCTCTAAACTGAAAGGACCCTATTAGAACAAAAGATATTGTGTTCCACAGGTTATCAATGATATTTGAAACACCATCTCGAGAGACATATGCTGCCATTGAAACTCCCAATATATTCATTTTCTGTAGTTTGAGTAGAACAAATCTAGTCTTAATGACAAAGAGTTAAAACTGTCTAGACAGCTTTTAACATTTATTTCATTGGAGGATAAGAGAAATACGGCTCATGTGATACTGTGTAAATTGGTTGGACCCACTCTCCGAATTTCTCAATGGTTGAGATTCAGTGGTCTTCAGAGAGCTCTCTTCCTCTGTCCCCACTTTCTGAAACTTCTGTCCTTCCATCCTTTCTTTCTCTTGCTTTCCCTCCATCCCTCCGCCAGTCTTCCCTTCTTTCAGTTCATATTTCAGTTTGCTCCCAGGAGCTCGCAGGTCTGTGCCAGACGGAAATTCGCTGAGGCTGCAGGAGCCCCCTTGGAGGCCACATGGAGGAGGGACAGGAGGGGAACAATCAGGCCCAGTCCTCCCTCTCCTTCTCTCTCCCTCTCTTCAGCGCTCCCCTCCAATCTACTTTTTTCTCTCTTCTCCCCTCCTTTTTTTCTCTTTCTTCCGTCCTCACGTTTCCTCACTCTCTCCCCTGTCTCTCTCTCTGTCTCCTCTGTTTCCAGCCTGCCAGGCTACACAGGTCCTCAGGGTGACTTGCTCTTGGCTCGGGTCCCTCAGCACAGAGCCCTCTCCTCTCCTCCTACACCCACTGTTTTTACACAACACCTCCGCCCCCTCCTCCTTATTTTTTGCTCCTTTCCCACCTCCTCTCCCTCCAAACTCTCCCCAGGGGGAAGACGCTGAGGCCATCCAGTCCCGAGCTGTCCATCAGCGAGGGTGTTTACTTGCAGCGTGACAGGCCGACACATCTGGAGCGCATATTCACTAGTGTTCACACTATTTCTCCCTCTCACTCCTCACTGGCCCTCGATTTATCCCGACGCTGCCACCAGATGCATTCCTCCCGTTCATTTCAGGGCCCTTTGTCGTCGTTATGGCGAGCCCACCTCTAACTTTCATAAACTCGCTCAAAGCACACACGAGATGCACACACAGATTTGTTTTCAACCGTTTTTCCCTCTCTCTTTCACCCCTCCAGTGGTTTTTCAGTTGCATGACAGAAATTGGAGTTAACCACCAGCAGGGGTGGGCCAAAGGGGCGAAGCAAAGCAGTGCTGGGGTTGGGGGGGCAAGAGTCAGCCTTCTCTCCTCCACCTTTCTGTCTCCCTCTCCCTCCATCTGTATCCCCATTCCCAATCTTTCTCTCTTTTCAGTGAGTGCAAACTAATTACAGCAGCTCCCCCACTTCTTTTTGGAAACCCATGACTACTGCTCAAATGAAGTGACACTCTTTTTTTTTCATCCTGTGTGTCTCCTCTGCCTTACTCACTCATCTCCCCACCTCATCACCCTGCATCTCACCCACCCACCCACCCTGTCTGTTTTCCCAACATTCCTGTGCTGGTGTGTGACTGTGATGGCTTGTCATCTCACAGGAATGTCCTGCTCTCCCACCTCGTCCCCCCGATTTGGCGTGAAGCATTTGCTCCTGGTTTCCGACTCTGCACATGTGCACACACACAAACGCACACATGCAAGCACACGCTTGAAATGCTAGCTTTTAAAAAAAATGTGTTCATGCAGATGGTGTCCATTGGGCTGCATACCTACCCTTGGCGTACGGCCACAACAAGCACAGCCATTCTCAGATAGTCCCCAGCTTGTTTTTCAACTGTAGAAAGTGTGCACAAAGTTATTTTATCTTATGTTGCCTGTGGTAAAAAGAGCCATTTTCTTTGTACGGTTAACCCGAGGAATTCTCTTGATTACACTGATTACCAAATACAGCCTTCCAGAGCGGTTTTTAAGCAAAAACACTTGTTTCATGCAGTTTTAAATATAAAGGAAAACATATAAAAACACAATTTGCAGCTAATAAAGCAGGACCATGCAGCATCATGCAAAGTTAATGTGGAAGAGAATCATCGGCTGAGTGATACGATTGTTGAAAATGTTGTTTCTTATTAAACGTGATCATGCTTTTAGGTCTGCATGTGTCCTCTATACAGAAAAGATAATATGACGCACATGTGACTTGAAGAGATGTTAAGCTTAGTTTAGTTTAGAGAGGGACACATGATGACTTTCTCTTAGTCTCAGCGTGTTTTAACCTGTCTGTCTACATACAGAGAGGACTTATCAAAGACCTAATGGCACACAGGAACATGCTACTCTCAATGACCCCGGGGAGCACTCACAATGAGGCTAATAAGGCAGAATATTGTGCGTATCTGCATTTATGTGTGTGTGCGCACATGTGACACAATCTCCTGATTGGCATCATCCTCTCGAACAAGTCTGGCTCCTTCTAGATCCGGTTGACGTCTGTGCACGTGTGTGATTATTTGTCAGTGTGCGTTTATTTGTGTATCTATGTGTGTGTGTGTGAGACAGAGAGTGTGCAGGAGATATCACCGGGCTCTCATGTTTATTCAGCTCAACGCCTGGATGACCAGGACTTATCCGCTGTCCTGATTACCCTGCCTGGCCTGCCACCATTAATCCTTCAGAGACCCCAGGCCCCTTAAACAGCCCTATCTTACACACACAAACACATGCGCGCACACGCAAAGCCACACATGCTTCTTTAGTATACATATCAAGGACACATTGTAGTCCTCATATACATATACATGAAAAAAAAGTGTAGTCTTCTCATTTTTCTCTCTATTTCCTGTTTTATCAGGGCTGTCCTTAGAGCAAAGCCCCTGCATTTGTGTGTGTGTGAAAACTGTCATTTGGGCCTCAAGGAACCTTCCAGGCATCTCTCAAGGTCCCCCCTCCCTTTAATTCCCAGTGACTTGTGTGTGTGAGTGTGTGTGTGTTTGGGAGTAAAGGCAGGGAGAAGTGATTCAGTCTCATTTTTGAGCCACAGTATTTTCTTTATCAGCTCTAGGCCTCTGTGAAGGCCCACATAATTATATTTTATGTTGAGTAAAAATTACAGCATTGTAGCTCTTTTCCCATAACAACTGTATTTCTCTTTGGAGACACAAGGGTTTTCTGGTGAGGGGCCTGTTGGAGCAAACCGAGTGTGCGAGCACGCGCCTGCGACTGTGCATGTGCGCGAGGTTTCATACGTGTGTATTCAGGACATGGAGGCTCTTTTCAGCAATAGTCACAGAGGCCAAGACATAATATTGACCGTGGCTGTGTTCCCTTTTCTGGTTTTGCCCATAATAAATGATGCAGATTAGAAAAGTCGGAGTACGTTGGGCTGATAAGTAGCCTTTAGAGCTGGCTTGCCATGCTGTTTGTGCGGGAGGGGGCTCGCTTTTTCTCACTCTGCCTCAATTTCAAGTATCCCAGTGACTCAAGGGCAGAGACAGTGTGTGTCTGTGTGTGTGTGTTTGTGTGTGTGTGTGGAGTTTTAACTGTGGTCTGTTGACGTTCAGAGTGAGCGGGTGGTGAGGGTGTTTGGACTCTGAAGGAATGACGGCAGTGTGTGTTGCCAAGTCCCATTTGAATATATACACAGTAGGGAACCCTCTCATTATAAACAGAAGCTCAGACTCATAGATGTGCATGAAAAAACACACACATGCACACACACACACACACTCAGAGGATGGGGACACAGTGCTGGAACTAGAACAGCTGGAACAGAGAAAAGCCAGTTCATATTGTTAGGCAAACAAAGCTGAATTGTTGAAATCGTGTGTGTGTTTGAAGGATATTTGTTTTAATGTGACTCCCCCAGTCATTGTCAGGAGATGAAACGCCCGTCAACACTCACTGTTGTCTTTATCATGCACTGTTTGTGTCTTTCTACCTCATTCCCTTCTTTCCTTCATCAATTTACTTCAGGAGGCAACACTTGACCACCTGAGCAGACATGCACACAAGACACACACTTGCACACAATGAGTCGTCTCTGACTCCTTCCCCTCCTCTGACACAGCTCCCTCTCTCTCCCCTCCTGTCCCTGTCTTCTCTCTTTTCCCATAACAAATAACAGCGCAGAATTCCCCTCGCTTCTCTCCTGGGGAATTTTCATTACCGCCCAGTCCCCCTGCTCAGAAGGACTCCCCGCCTTGAACTGTTCAACAGCTGTGGTGTGGACACTCTCTTCCAAAACAGGCCCACTGTTCACAAACACCCACCGGACTCAGGGTGGGGACTCTGTGTCAACCTCCACAGCTCCAGAGACAGAGCTTCCCTTCGCATGTGGCCCACCTCAAGGCCCTCTCGCCTGGGGAGAAAGAGGCCTGACACAGGGCCCCCATCTCTACTTGAATTAGATTGAGAACAGATTTCAGTGGGCTTGTATAAGAGGGATTATAGACGGATAAAGAAATTATTACGACTTAGTTTTCTGGCTGTGTAGTATACTCAACAGCAGAAGTCCCACATCCTGATCATGCATGTTTCACTGAACCAATCTGGAGAAAGGAGTTTACACATTTCACCTCTGCTTGCTGACTCTGTGGCAAACCATTAGTTTCTGAATCGTCAGTCGTTTTGATCACCTTCTCGAAATGTACTATTACAGTAAATGTTCAGTTATGTAAATCTGCTTTGCAAGTAAGCTAATAATATTTTACTGTGGACATTGCCAACTGTGTTATCAGAGGGAGTAGCCTACTGCAAGGCTGCCAAGTTTCAGAAAATGACAAGAGTGAGACTTAGGCGTTATGATGTGTTCGGCCGCCGACCACGCGGAAAAATAAATAAATAAATAACGTTGATTTATACCTTAAGACTGATGTCCTCACCTCCATGCCAGCTGCTCTCCCTGCACTGTGGCCTCCCCTAATGCTAGTCTTAATTAACCAGAAATAAGAAAGTGGGTTTTGAATGTCGGCGCTGTTGTGTGTGAAAGATAGAGATGCCAAGACCCGCCTTACGTTGCTTCTGATTGGTTTATATTGCGTGGCGCCTTCCATGGTTGGTTAGATTTAGGCACAAAGGACTGATGGATTGGTCTAGGATTGGTTATCTCGGTCAGTTAATCAGAGTTACTCGAACTACGGCAAGCCAAGTTTATTATCATCAAAAAAATAAATACAGACTATTAAATGGGGAAATATAAGTGTGAGAAATGTGAAGTGTGGCGTGTGGCGAATGGGTGAAACTGCGTGACTGTCACACTCAAATTAAGACACTTGGCAGCTCTGCTACTGTGTGTCAACTTATCTTTGGTTGGTAGCTAGTTAACATGTACATCAGAGTAATAAAGCCCTGGAGAGTTGGTGCGTTATTTTAGAAAACCTATTTACAAAACCTTCAAATTCTGCTCGACGTTGTTTAAAGTCTCAGTTTTCATCTTACAAGACAGCAGCTATTAGCTTAGCTATCTACAGGGGTCTCCATCAGCTTGAGATTTAGTGCCTGCCTGTTTCTTGATGCCGTGTGGCTGGACATCAAGAATGAAAAGTTTGGTTTTGCAGTTTGTGGGAAAGCTCCTAGCTTGTAACTGTGAAAATAGGATGCTAGACCACGTGCAAGATGTATAAATGGTAACGCTTTTCGTCCTGCATGCAAGGAGGCTTTGGGAAATGAGGAAGAGGTGTCCGCACTAGAAGTATGCAAAGTTTCAAATCACGACGTAAATGTATGTTGTCATTATCCTAGAAAATAGATGTAAACTGCTCAAAACGGGGCCTTACGAGAAAACGTTAGACTCACTAAAATGCTTGTGTCAGCATTATAGGCTCTCATTACTGGTTCATCTGTGCTTTCAGCAAAGCAGAACGGCCTGCCTCCAACAGTGTGTGAGGTGACAGCGCTCTACTAATTGAACACAAAAGAGGGGGTGGGGCCAAAACATCAAGCTCTGCCCCCAGCTGGCCTCCGGAAAGCCTACAGAGGGGTGGCCAATCAGAAGAAAGGAGGCTGGGGGGCCTTAAAGAAACAGCGGCTAAAACTAAGCATTTTAGACAAAGGTTGAAATCATGATATTTTAATGCACTAGAGTGAGAAACACATTTTTTAAATCTGAAAATCAGATTGAGATCTTAAAGAGAGATCAGAAAGGAAGTATAGAGTAAAAAAAGATGTATAATACCCCCGCTTGAACGTCAGTTTATCCTGCACAGAATCAGCTGTTTTCTCTTCCTGATGATCAATGTTAAACAGAGTTAATCTTTTGATTACCTATGCCCACCTCTGCAGTTTTACAGGCTATTAAATCTATATACTGGAGCTTTATTGTAAAGTGCAGAGGAGTCATCGGGTCTTCACTGACTGACAGGAAAGAGTACTGGCAGCTAAGGAAAGGGTCCCAGTATGCTGAAAAAAAGTCGCGGTAACACAAGGGGTTAAATGTAGAACCGGTTGTAATTCATACTAGGGTGGTCTGGCTTTCCTTTGGCACATTATGCCAAATAATGGAAGCGTCTTGAAATGAATTAAAAGGTGAGACTGTCTTCCCCAAAATAAGAAACAACAGTTTACATGGCAAGTTAAAAGGTTTCTACTGATAATGTTAGTGAAGCTCTTTCAATTGCCAGTAGTTATCATTCCACACAATCAGATAGATAGATAGATAGATAGATGGATAGATGGATAGATGGATAGATAGATAGATAGATAGATAGATAGATAGATAGATAGATAGATAGATAGATAGATAGATAGATAGATAGATAGATAGATAGATAGATAGATAGATAGATAGATAGATAGATAGATAGATAGATAGATAGATAGATAGATAGATAGATAGATAGATAGATAGACAGACAGACAGACAGACAGACAGACAGACAGACAGACAGACAGACAGACAGACAGACAGACAGACAGACAGACAGACAGACAGACAGACAGATAGATAGATAGATAGATAGATAGATAGATAGATAGATAGATAGATAGCACAGACTGAGTCTCTGCCTGTAGCAAGAGTAGAGAGGGTGCAGTTATCAAAGGCGATTACTTATCTCATGCTGTGACGCCCCACAGTCAAATGCAAAGTAGCCTAAATTAAAACACACTTCATTTAAAAAGATAAAAACTACACAGGAGAAAAGTCGCCTTGTATTCCCAACTGGCGACATTTATTTCTGTCAGATCAGCAGAACAAGATGTGCTGGCTGTAGGGGTTTTCATGGAGGTGGCGGTGTGTTTGTTGGCTTCCCTCAAACTCTGTATGCATGTGTGTGTGTATATGTGCGTGTGTGTGTGTGTGTGTTTATGAGAGAGAGAAGCCTGTATCTCAAGTCTTCCTTGGAAGAAGTCAGGAACACTTGGCAACAATGACAGTGGAAGTCCCCAGCCCTTGGCCACAGACCTTTGTGTGTGTGTCTGTGTACGTGTGTGTGTCCCTGCACATAAGAAACGGACCATTTGAATTTACTGGATGTGGGATGGGATCAGTGTGTGGGAGGTTTTTTGTTCCTATACCAAAAATGAGATTATTAAGTAGAAGACAATGTTTGACCACGGGAACACAGACTGTTCCCATCCTACATCAGTGTCACAGTTCATTTGTGAACTTAAAGGGACAGATCACTGCACAATGAAAACACAGTCCTTCAACTACCATGTAAAGAAAAACTTGCTGAGGCCCTAAAAAACACTTCTGGAAAAGTTACCTTGCATTATCTCCAAACTAGCTATAAAATATCATACGAACACATTTAATGCACCTAAAAGAACATCAAAATACCCAAGAGTACACAAGTACAAAAACCGTAAAAACACACTGAGTATGTTAACATGCATATTAAGCCCTGGTTATACTTTGATTTGGTCATTCAACTGGATGACTGTCCTTGTGTCAGTATACAAGAACCGTTTTATGGACAAAAGTACGTACACTTGGTAGCGATTAGCCCCCTTTAAGCCAGTTACTATTGGGCTCTTCCCTGGTTCACCTTATACATCACCAAGCAAAACAATCTACAGACAAGTTAGCAAGAGGCAAACCGATTGCACATTGAATGGTAAATACAGTGGCAACTTTACAGCTCTGAATCTTTTATACATACGATACGGCAGGTTCTTCTTCTAACTTCCCCTCCAACCAAGTTTAACCCTGAGAAATCTAACTTAGTCTGTTTCACTCAGACAAACAAATATATGCATTTAAAAGTCCAGTTTCACTTAGAATAAAGCGATAACTTGATTGTACCGACATCAGATTATGAAGTTTTTGTTTCCTTGGTGAAAGCTGAGGCTTAGGTCATTCAGGTCGTAATTATTTAGGGGGTCCACCGCACTATTAATTTTTTTTTTTTTCACTGTACAAATTTGAAGCCAAATTGCTCCCCGTATTTCACAGACTTTCTCCTTTTCCTGAAACCAGCATTTGCGCAGTAGCGTTCAGTAGGAGTTGCTGTGATGACGCTCTGCTTAAACAGCGTATCCCCTGGATCCCCTACGCAACCTTGTCATGACCAAAGGCTGTATCAAGGGTCAGTCATAGAAAACATGAACCCCTAATAACTTTTAAATAATGGAGCTGTGCAGAAAAAAAGAGGACTTAAGCACAAACCAGTCTTACAGTAACTACATGTCAACATAGCAATCGGGGGGCAGAAAAATGAATATTCCATGTAATTAGTTTTTAAAGTTTGTCCACAGCTCCATTCATTTTGTTGGAGGAGGTGCAATTTATGACCTATACTGCAACCAGTCACCAGGGGGTGCTGTTCTTATGGAGGCTTCACCCAGCGAGGAGACAGAGGACGTCTATTCTATATACAGTCCATGGGTGCAACCAGTTTTTGATCTTTTTACAGAAGCTGTTTCCAGGTTCAAAGCACGTTGCTTGTATTATGAGGGTTAAAATTTAACGACACAGTATATTCTTCATTAGAGCTTCCTAAAGTTACTTATTAATCACTGACTATTAGCAGTATTTAGTCTGATTGTCGCTGTATTAGAAGCTTTCAGAGGTTAGTGGGAGAGGCAGCTATGCAGTGAAGTGGTTTATTTGGTCAGGAGACACCTGGCCCGAGTGGAGGAGCCTGAAACAGTATAGGACTGCAGCTCCTGACCTCTACCCCTCCTCACCTTCACCCCCCTCTTCCCTCTCTCCTCTCCAGCGGACTGTTTTGCGGCTGTCCCCCCGTCCGTCCACATTCCATTCACCAGGATACCTCTCCATCCTGTCCCTCAGGAGTGTGTCCATCTCTGTGTATGTGATTGTGTACGAGAGCATGTGTGTTCATGTGTGTGTGTGTGTGTGTGTGTGTGTTGAGGTGGAGGTGGCCTACAGGCTTTGCCTCTGGTCACTTTATTAAAGTGTGTTTTAATTTACTCCTGTGCTCCTGTGAGCCCCTGCATCCTGACACACACTCACACACTAAGAGATACAGCCCCCCCTCCAATACACGGCTTATTAACTCCACTCCTGTCTGTCAGAGAGTTGGCGGGGGGGCCAGTACTTCCGAACAACATTCCTCGGTGTGGTCTGGTCATGTTGAATTTTTGAAATCCTTTTAATGCAGACACACACTGTCATAAAAACGGACAACACACAAGTTAACACAGGCAGATACAGTAAATCTTCACAGCGATGTACGCAGACACACATAAACCATAAACGTACAGTTATATGGCTCTCCATGGAGTCTTTGTAAGGTCTGACCCCGAGCTCAGCCAGCAGCAGCAAGGCTTCAATGTTATCTTAACAATTAACATGGTAATAATTGGTTAAATACCACTCAGCAATAATAACTATGCTTGGCTACAGTTCCTGCAAAGTCTGATTAAGTCAGCTTCAGAGGACTAGTGGTCCTCAGCAGAATCACAGGAACCGGTCAAATATTTTTCTCTCTTTATTTTGTAATTGACAGAGTTTCACTGTGAAGTGCAATACCTGCTCCACCGTATACGTCCCATTTCTTCATTTTTTATGTGTCTCACAGGCCCCCTCAGAACATTATTCCCCGAGTTTCTTATCTGTCTCAGTATTAAATATGAAAGTGGGAGCTGTGGTCTGTCTCAAAGGAGAGCAGAGGAGTCATGTTGGGCTATCCTGAGGTCCTGGTGTATGATGCTGAGGCCTCAGGCCCTCGAGCCAGTCTCACAGCAGAGGCTTCGGGGCAGAGCCAGAGGGGATTTTTTTATGTGTGTGTGCCTGCAGCTGTGTGCTTATATGTGTGTGACACATTGTTTCTACCTGGCAGGGACTTCAGTAGACCTAAGCAGCATTAAAAAGATTACATGTGGTTTTATGTGTATTTGTGTCTGCGCATGAAAATGTGTCACCATGGCAGAGTGTGTTTGTGTGTGTCCGTCGCCTGCCTAGTTTACATGTGTCACTTGTGAGTAGCTTGTGAAAAATGTATTAAGAGTGTCGAGCAGCCAGCTGGAGTAAGACAGGACTGGGGGAGTGAGATAGAGGTGGGAGGCAGAAGAGAGGGAGGGAGGGAGTAAAGGGGCACAGCTGTAGGGGATTAATGCCCAGAGTGGAGGAGCTGGAGCCCAGGAATGTTCCCCAGCGCCCCCTCAAGAGGGAGGTGAAGAGGGGAGGGAGTCCAAGGAAAGACAAGGGCACAGGAGGCAGATGTGTCCTGAGCGGCACAATCTTCATTTATGTTTGTTGGAGAAGAGGAGGGGGGCGATACTTCATCCTTGTCAGTCTTATCCTCCAACTTAATCTACCCCCTCCACCTCCACCTCCTCAGGCACTTTGGCAGTGATCAGCCCCTAGTTCACAAGACCTCCCTGTGCCGCTCCTCCCTGTCCGCTCTGTGTGTCACATTCTTTGTCTTGTGTGCGCTGTGATTTATGGATGGACACAGGAAGCAGTGTGTGTGTGTGTGTAATTGCAGTTACAGTGAAGAGTGAGGAGAAGGACATCTATCAACTCTCTTGAGGTTGTCACTAAAATATTGAACCACTTTTTGCCTCTCATGATGACTTTTTTTTTTGTCACTGGCAGCCTAAAGCTAGTCTCTATCCGGTAAAGGATGATAAAAAATGATAAACCAACTCTAACAGAGTTCATGCTGTTGAGTCTGTTTATCTTCTGAAACCTTTTGAGAGATTTATGACAGCTCTTTGGTTCCTGCAATCACAAACTCTTGACTGTATTCAGTTAAGCGTGTGCTCAATTTAACTCCCCCTTGTCAGCTATTGCTGACAATTGGTTTCCTCCACTTTGGGTGCTGTCTACAAGCTCTCACCTGCAGTCCATGCTTTGTTTTACTCTGAATTCACCAATCTGCTCATTTCCTAATGATGCATCTCTTTGGTTCACCACGTGTACTGCTAATAGTGTGAAAATATTTTGAGTTTAAAAACCTTTTTCCAATCGACACATGACAATACATAAACAAAAAACTGAGCTATATTTGAAACATCATCTATATAATTCCTATTTGTACAAAAAAAGTTAGCAAGACACTTCAAAAGCTTATCTTAGCTTCGTAACCTAGACAGCTTTAGCATAAACAATAAAGCTGTGTACCAAATAAAGGGTTACACCCTCCAACCTGTCCACCCAGATACCTAGCAGTGAGTAGCTCACCGGCTGACTAGCTGACATAGCTAGTGACACATAACATTACCAACAATTTGAAGATGGGTACTTAACAGTGTGATACCCGTTGCTTGAGAGTCTGCCTTCTCGTTTGAATCGGTGCACAGGGAGTTATTGGGTATGTT